CATGAATGAGTTTTCCTCACCTCATTGTACTTCCTGTAGACTTATTACATGCTGTTAACTGTACACGAGTCGGGGCTTTTGTAACATTTTGCGTTTCTCATATTATGAAAACTCACTTGAAGCATATTTTAGTGCTGTCATAAAACTCTACTGCCTCTATAAACACTCCAAACCTGAAAAAAATCCATCCATGCATTTTCTGTCAGTGTGCCTAAAACAAGCCGTTTCAAAAATCTAATCAAACTTTATTTATAGAGCACATCACTATCTGAGACATTAGTATTTAACCACCTCTCAGGTACAAGAGAGAGGTGCTGCTGGATGAGCAGCGGCTCTTCTTCGAGCCCCTCCTGGACATCAGAGCTTCTCAGCTTATAGCAGCCTGGATGGGGGATGGGTGGTTGTGGCCAGCTCCAGGTTGGTTTTTTTTAGAGATAGAGCTCTCACATGACTCATTCTGGAAGGCACTGAAACTGTCAAGAATTAAAACAATGCAATAGCTTTATATTTATGTTTATGTTTATGTATTTAGCAGATGCTTTTGTCCAAAGCGACTTACAAGTGATAATCGGCATATTGCCCTTGAGGCTAACAACAACAATAACAACAACATTGACATCAGTCATGGAGAGTAGGGAACAAGGAGTGGACAGTAGAGAGGGGGGACGGGTGCAGGGAGGGTGCTAGTTAAGAAGATGCTCTCTGAAGAGCAGGGTCTTCAGGAGTTTCTTGAAAATTGAAAAGGAAGCCGCTGTTCTGGTAGTGCTTGGAAGGTCATTCCACATTTGTGGAACGATGCATGAGAAGAGTCTGGATTGTCCTGAGCGTGGTGTAGGCACTGCTACCCGATGATCCTGTGATGACCGGAGCGGCCGGGCCGAGACGTAAGCCTTTATGTGAGAGGAATTTGGCATAAAGAACTCCATAAACGTGTTTTGTGTCGACTATAGAACTATTATAACTTAAGAAAAATGTAATATACTTTAAAAATAAACACACAGAAAGTTTCTGAGTGTGACATAATTCAGCATTCCTCACCACATTCCTTCTTTTCATCATTATCTCTTCATTTGTCTCACAGTGACTGTATAAGTCTGTCATTGCCAGTTTTGATAGTATCATCATTATTATGATCAATGATTATGAATATTGCTCCACCGTGTCCATTAATCTAAGTCGCTGTGCTCATCAGGTTAAAAATAAAGACTCCTAACTGTCTTAGGAATCTGCCTCCATAGTGCAGAACTCCTCAGAGCTGAGCCGCTCTTTTGGGGCTTTGCAATGAAACCCAACTCACCGCTTATCCACTCTCAATTTTAAATGGTGGTTTCTTAATAAGTATTTATACTGTTGCAAATGGGAATGCTTGAGTTCCTCAGAGGGAAAGGTAATTACGCCTCCCAGTCTACTTTAGCCTTGTTTATGCATCCTGTGTTAGCATGTGGGAATCTGTGGCTAGTTTGCTAAATGAATAAAATAACTGTTATTATGCTCAATGAAGCTAGAGAGAGATGATTTCTGAAGGAACTGTCATCCTCTTTAGGAATGTTGGCTGTATTCTGTGCTTAGGTCATTTCTATTGTTTAAGGATTTAATCAAGTTCATAAAATCTGCAAAAATCATTGACTACCTCTTGTTATTATTTTGCTTGTAACTGTCCAAATAGTTTCTTTTTGCTAGTTTTTTAAGGTCTCAAAGCTTTTTCTATACCACATTTAGGACTTTTGAGATCAAAGGCGCTACAGTAACATAACAAAAATCAACATGATCTTCAGATCTCGGCAGATGTTGGCAAGTTGTAAACTTTCATTTGATGGTCCGATCTGAAAGTATGCGTAATAGATACAGATGGACGCTGCTTCCATTCTGTTTTCTCCATGTTTGTGGACCATTTCAGGCTTTCTACAACATCTAGTCAGCTGGGGATTCCATTGGTCCATTACAGCTACAGACAGCCCAGTGTTTGTGTTATTCCAACTTCATTCTTCTCAGATTTTATGAGGCTTCTAAAATTTGGAAACAAGTTGAAAGATGTGGCTAGTTTTATTTTATAAGATTCTGTCACCGAAGGCTCATTTTGTGAAGTTATAAAAAATGTTTGTGAATTTCTAATGAATTTAACGAGTCTTGCAATCAAATCGCCTATTTTGTTTACATTAAAATGCGGCTTGCTTTCTGCACCCCCATTTATAAAATGTACAGTATTTTCCGGAGTATAAGTCGCACAGCCATAAAATGTATAATGAAGAAGAAGAAAACATAAATAAGTCGCACTGGACTATAAGTCGCATTTTATTTTTCTTACAAAATCTGAGACTAAGCGTTTCACATTGCAAGACAAGTACCAGTAACAATAACAGAATAAACAATCAGGGCGTAGCAGCATGCCACGGTCTCCAGCAGAGGATGGTGGTGTTTCAAACCCTCCCAGCAAGGCAGAGGTTCTGAAACCTGGACAGGAGCCGGTCCGCAGCAGCGTGGTATACATAATTTGGTATATAAGTCAATTTGGTATATAAGTCGCAGGACCAGCCAGACTATGAAAAAAAGTGCGACTTTTATAGTCCGGAAAATACGGTAGATATGATCCCTGCTGGCTGCTGCCCCCGCCCACTGCTTCAACATTCCTTCCTGTTACAAACTCAGGGATTCCCACAGCGCTTTATTATGGGCTCGAAACATGGGAGGTGACAAACAACCACGGTCAGCGAAATTCGTCGCTGTTGCATTTATTACTTGACACATGGGAGGCGACCCACGGCAGTGGCCAGCGGCAAAGCCGTCGACGCGTTCTGTTCCATGGCAAAATCGAATCTTGATTGGCTGTCAGGTTGGAGGGAATTAAAGTTATTTAAGCAGTTCAGAGTTAAAAAAATGCAGCTACGACACGTGCACCAGCGCAACATTTCACACGCACGTTTTTCGTGTTTCGTTTAGTAGGAGGGAGACCCGCGATTATCGCTTTGTCGCGCATGTCTCATTGAAAATGAATGGAGGAGAGGCGATGCCGCCTCCCGTGTGTCGAGCCCATAAGCCTGGCGGCTCACCAAGCTTTGCTTGACCACCCGCCAGGCTAAGCGTCATGCCCCGCCCCTCCCCGCCCCTACCGTGTCCGCTGATACGAACGGGGCAACGAAACTAGAGCCCTCCATCAGCTGATACTGGTGAGAAACAGCAGCGGAACGTGTGCACCCCCCCCACCCCCGCTCTCACGGAGGAGCGCTTTTGGACTTCACAGTCATGTGACTACCCCATCCAGTTTGTAGCACAGCATTTTAAATGAACATGAACATCCGCAGCCTACACACATCTTTTCACATACCTAATATATTGACATGGGTAAAATGACGTTGTTGTAGACAAACATTTCAGTATCGGTACTTTTTTGGTATGTTGTTTACCTCAAGGTGGTTTTATGCTAGCGTTCCTTATCATGACATCACAATAAGACACTTTTTCAGACTGCTGGTAGAACCATACAATTCCTAAACCAACTTCTGGATAGTTTTTATTCACTTTTGGAGTGTTTATGGAGAGAGTAGAGACTGTCAACATGGGGTTAAAAAAAAGAAAGTTGGACAAAAAAGGTCAAAAAACAGCAACAGATGCAGCCTCTTGTGAGTCTCCTTGTTGGTAAGCTTTATTCTCTCCCCACATTGTCATGAGCATGCTGCAAGGTTTTGTCTTCTGGAGCAGGGATTCCCTAAGTGTGGCGCTGCCGCTAGGGGTTGCGCGAGATGAAAAGTGTAATGGCTGCGGAGCTCAGAGAAGTCTGTCATATGTCACCGTTAGCGTAGCCAGAAACTCGTTTGTGGGTGGGCCAAAGAAAAAGTAAGTGGGCCCAATAAATGTAATTGAAAACAAGTATATTTTGCTTGTGTGTGTGTGTGTGTGTGTGTCCTCCGCATGTGCCCTAGCTTCATGATAACAATGCGCCAAGCTTCAGCGCTCTGGCCTGCGCACGCCGATATGTTTCGTATTTGATCATTTTTAACGATGTTGGAGAAATCTGACGAGAAATAACGAGACACGGTGACTGGAGTGGCTCATGGAGCTGTGCCGCACACACACACACACACACACACACACACACACGCACACGCACACACACACAGATTCAATAAGCACACGCGCTGCACAGTCAGACTGAAAGCTGAAATGAGCTCTCCCTCCTCCGTGATAAAAACTTTTAAGAGGCTTTATAACAACATTTTTCATTCAAGGTCAAATTAAGATATTAGCTTCTATTTTGGGATGATATTAAAGTCGGGTCCGCTCCAGCCAGTGACTCCGAACCTGACTACAACTCATGTTACTGCAGCATTTGTTATTCCAGTCCGCGTGGCAGCGGATCGCAGATTCAGCCACATCATAAAACAGCAATAAGTCGGTCTGAGGCAAAAGTGAACCTCATGGCTATAGCTTTTCCATATTTTCCTCTATAGACATTTGATTACACACAAGTAGGTGATCAGCTCAGGTTTACGCAGAGCAGAAGGAAGGAGAGAGCTCTGGTCGCACAGGTTAAACGTTCCTACTTTAAGAAAACCATTAAATTGCATTGTTTATGTGCTACCTGGGCACTCTAAATATTTATTTAAAATTAAATCAAAGGAAATTGTATTAGTATTGAATCTTTATTAATTACTATTTAAAAATGAAGTGATGGGGAAAAAGGTCGATCATATTTTTTTAACCCTGTCTGTCGAGTGACTGTTTAGCTTGACATCTGATGAGAGAGAGAGAGAGAGAGAGAGAGAGAGAGGAGAGAGAGAGAGAGAGAGAGAGAGAGAGAGAGAGAGAGAGAGAGAAGAGAGAGAGAGAGAGAGAGAGAGAGAGAGAGAGAGAGAGAGAGAGAGAGAGAGAGAGAGAGAGAGAGAGAGAGAGAGAGAGAGAGAGAGAGAGAGAGAGAGAGAGAGAGAGAGAGAGAGAGAGAGAGAGAGAGAGAGAGAGAGAGAGAGAGAGAGAGAGAGAGAGAGAGAGAGAGAGAGAGAGAGAGAGAGAGAGAGAGAGAGATGCCCTGATGTGGGGCTGGGTGGTGCATCGACATGGTCGGGACGTAGAAGGGGGTGCGTGGCTAAATAAGTTTGGGAACCGCTGTTCTGGAGAATCAACCTGACCTTAAATCACTGCATAATGAATTGTACGGCATGCTACCCAGTTGTCTAATTCAAATTGCATGGAATCCTGATCCCTAAAGTCTGTATTTGTTTATTGAAGCAGCGTACAGAAGCTCGAATGAGGAGAGGGCGAACCCCGGCATGTGTATTTAATTGCTTTGTTTTACATCCACGTCCGGCCTCTCCCAGGGTGATGTGTTGTTAAAAACCATGAGGCCCTTTTCCCACTCTCTGCTCTCTTGTTAACAGTAATTGCACTTGTTGGTGAGCTGACAGAAAGAAAATAGAAATGGAAACAAATTACCAGCATCATTCCAAGTTCCATGTTTGCATCCAGCTTTTCCTCCTCCTTTCTTTTTCTTTGAAAGGAAGTTTTTTTTTTTTTTTTTTTTTTGGATACTCAAGGAAGTCTGCATAGCTTTGGTTAAATGTAGCAGAATTAAAGTTTGGTTGTGAAGTCATTGTATATAAAGTGTTCACTCAGACGGACTTAAAAAGGAGATGAATAATTCACAGAACCTGGCAGCGTGTGCACATGCAGGGGCTCTGATTCGGAGGGAAGGTAATGCAGGAGGAACTCCCAGTAGATCTGAATGTGCAGGTGTTCCTCGCAGTCAAATGCCACCTCCTTTACTCAGTCACATCCGTTCCTTCTTTTTCTTATCAGACAGGTTGCTGTCTCCCGACTTTCTGTTGCTGTCACACACACGCTCAGAAAGTCTAGCTGGGGCCATCTCTGAGCTTTCAGAGGAGAAAAGATCATTACTGTTGCAGACGGCAGCCATTTTATGAATTTGTACACTATCACAGTCTGCCTTTCCCCTTCTTTGTCACACTTAGACTGCCTCAACTCACAGAGGAGCTGCTCCCACAAATGTCTGTTTGACTACTGATCCTGTCGCGTATAAAGTTCTGCAGCTCTGAGCTTTTTCCTGACAGCCTGGGTTGAAGAATTAAGCGAAAAGATTGGCTTTATCTTGTTGGGGAACTCGCGTGATTTCCATAAAGTGTGAGGTGAAGCGTTTCCTGCCTTTTGAGGTACTTATTTAGATCTAAGAATAAAAGATTTTCAGTAGGGATGTTGGATGTTATCAGTCTAACCGTTGGAGACAAATTTAACATGAACCTTTGTCCGATTACCAACTTAATTTGAAATAGTTGTAATTTTGCACATATGTTTAAAGCTTAAAGGAGACATAACATGAAAAACCCACTTTTTTATCCATTAACACAGTGTGTTTCACATTTTAAGTGTCTAAGTGAGCAAAAAGGCTTATATTATTCACTGGAGTTGCTATTTAGATATTTAATAATTAAGTTTTGGGCATATTTGTCCACCCGTTCAGTTTTCACATTATCTATTACATCTATTTCGTCAGGATAACTACCAAATATGGTAATGGCCCTCGGCTAAACACAGAGCCAATCCGCCATTTTTTCTTCTCGCTAAGATTTTTTGTAGTCCTATTGGAAAAATGCAGAATGTCTGGTTATTTTAGCCACACACAGCTCAAAACTGTTCCTCGTTTTAAGGAAGGGTGGTGTGGCAGTATTTAAACCCAGGAGCTGATGACACTACTGCTAAAACAACACAGAAGAAAAAGTAGTGTTTGTGTGTGTGTGTGTGTGTGTGTGTGTGTGTGTGTGTGTGTGTGTGTGTGTGTGTGTGTGTGTGTGTGTGCGCGTGCGCGCGTGGTTCGTTTGTTCTGTCTCCAGGCTAGTGGCTAAGTACTGAGGGCTTCATCTATCTAAAAGGAGTCATTTCCATCTGAATGTGGCAGCACCGGGACACAGCAGCAGAGCGGTAAGCTTCATATCACTCTAAAATGTCGACAAACTTTACTTTAGGTTTACGGGCATTAGCAGCACTAAAGCGTTAGCATCCGGCTTGCTATCGCTAGCACAGTATGCTAGTAAAGTTAGCACCCAGATTAATGTGGATTTGGCTGATTTTCGTGGAATAAAACGTGATTTCTGATCAACGCCTTCTTTTACACCAGATGATAACCTCCCACTGATTGTAACAGCAGAGAGCCTGTGTGTTATTCTACGTGAGTGTGATGTAATCTTAGCATCCAGTAAATAAAGTCCCATATCAGCTAAAATGCAGCGTGACAAAGTCATTAAAGTGCGTCAACACAGTGGATTTAATAGAGTTTTAAAGAACAATCTCTGAGTGAAGTGAGGTTAGTTTTTTGTCTCACTGCAGATATAAAAACGAACTCTGCATCAGTCAGACGCAGCAAAGCTCACCGTCTGTATGAGCATGAGCGTCGGAAAGCTGATAAAATTGGCTGTAAAATAATTAAAACAAAGTAAAAATGTTCCTTTGCTTTTTAGAGTCCACATCCAGAAGACTGGAGCCGTGTTTCACTGACAGGCTGTCAGACTAACGCCCTGATGAGCTCAGCTGGGACAAACTGGTCTGGTAAGTGAAGATCTGCTTCTCCAAGTCCTTGAGATGCTAGTAAAAATAATTTAGCCAGCTTGCTAATGTTACTTTTCTTCTCCTCTAAGGAACACAGAACGCTCAGATGTTGAAGCTCACGTGACCTACTGAGGACGGAGACCCACCAGTAAAGAGATGGTAGCTGGACCAGACCAAAGTGAGTGATGACACACCTCAGCCACTCTCATCATTAAGAACACCTCACCCCCTGAATCACTCCGTCTGATGACAGCAGAGTGATTTATTTGATGTTTTACTTGTTTAGTCTGTTTAGAAATTATTGAATTACATTATTTTCTGTAATCGACCATCTGATCTGGATGTGTGCAGAATAACTTTCCCCAAATTCAGCAGCAGCTGGCCTGTAAAAACAGCTGCAGCATGTAGTAAGTCTGTCTGCACTGCTCTCTAATGAGCTTCCTTTCATAAGGAATCATTTGTATAATTTTAGTGTCACTATTTTATTACATTTGTAAGAATATGAAGTCACTGCAGCAACACAAACGTGACTATAAACATGAAAGCTAAAGAAACAACTTTCCTAAAGCTGCTTGTAAACAAAATATGTCATTAAAGTTATCGTCTATCATTGCAGAATATGACGATGACATCATGGAACTGGTCATTGGAAAAGTTTTCCCTGAACCAACTCCGTTTCTAGATGAGGTAGAGAAGATCTGCATCTCATCAACTCTCTGATCTCAGTATTCAGACAACGGAGGTCTCCCACTGTTATCCAGGACCAGTTTGAAGCCCACATACTTCCCCTCCCTCATCATCAGGAAACATCAATCCGTATCCTGAGGACAACAGAAGACGGCAGGAGGACAGGAACTCTGAGACCTAGACACCACCAGCACCGGGACACAAAGCACCTGTGTGCACAACGCCTGTTTAACTACTAAAACCTGTTTATTATATTGTTCTACTTATTTGCTGTGAGGTTAATACTTAGAAAATTTGTATATTAATGTAAACAATTTAAAAAAATCACTGATTGTATGTTTTCTTTTAGATGTAATGGTCCAAACTCCGCCTTGTAGACATTTATTGCATCCTGTAGGTAAATACACAGAACAGGCTCAGATCCAGGATGACCCAGCATGCTCTTCTTCCATTCTGGCTGTTAGGGATTGTATCAATAACTCAATGCCTACTGATGTTTTCACCTAACGGTATTTATTTAGAATGCAGGTAAGATTTAACTATATTTGTTAGCAAAGAAGACTGATCTTGGGAATTTCACTGCAGCACTGATGTCCACCTCTCTGTACACATTAGAGAGAATTACCACTTTACAGCTAAACACATTTAATAAAGATATAGGCTACGCATTGCAGACAATAAAAACAAAGTTGTAAGCATTAGAATTATAATCACATTAAAGAACATTTGGAGGAATGTTCTTTATTTTTGACTAGAATCTCAAATCTTTAAATTAAAATGTAACTGCTTTTTATCCATTTTCAGCCATTAAGACACCCAATATTAAATAAGACTACTTATAAAATTATTTATAATTATATGTATGTATATATATATATAGAGAGAGAGAGATCTTAATAAAATATATTTTTAATGGTGTTTTAATGAGCTGTATCATTTTTTAAAACATTTTTATAGAAATAAATAAGCAAGCAGCATTCCTTGTGTGTGTGCGCGTGCCTGCTCGCTTGTCCCGTCGGCCGTGACGGATGTGTGTGTGTGTGTGTGCGCGCACGTGCCTGCTCACTTGTCCCTCCGTCGGCCGTGACGGGTGTGTGTGTGTGCGCGCGTGCACGTGCCTGCTCACTTTTCCCTCCGTCGGCCGTGACGGGTGTGTGTGAGTGACTACAAATGCATGAGAGAGTTAGCAGCCTTGAAACAGCTTGATTAACTACTCTCCCCACATGTTTTAAAAATGCTAATATGCTATGCTAAATCTGCTATGCTAAATAATGATTTCTCTATAGAACTACAAAGTCCGGCTGGGGGAGGAGAGTACAGGTCTGCACTATGGAGGGGGGCGGAGTTTACAGCTCCTCCTCCAGTTTAAAGAGACAGTACCCAAAAACGGCTCGTTTTCAAGACTCTCCTCAGAACAGGGGTAGATGAGGGTCTGTAGAGCAACAATAATGAGGAAATCAGACCAAAGAACTGCAGTTCCACTGTTTTTAGACCCCCAACTGAAGGATTTAGATGTAAAAAGGAATAACTTAAAAGCATGTTATGTCTCCTTTAAGGATGCATGATAGGAGAAATGTTATGTTAGCAACCTATAATGAATTAGCTTTTCTTTTTTTATAAGGGGGTAGCCCCTTCATGGGCTGCATGGTGGTGCAGTGGTTAGCTCTGTTGCCTCGCAGCACGAAGGTTGCAGGTTCGAAACTCGGCTGCGGCCTTTCTGCGTGGAGTTGCGTGTTCTCCCCATGCATGCGTGGGTTTCCTCCGGGTACTCCGGTTTCCCCCACAGATCACAACATGCCCTACAGGTTATAAATTGTAAGTCGCTTTGGATAAAAGCGTCTGCTAAATACATAAACATAAACATGTATTGAAATTGATTTATATCAGTATCGAAATTTAAGAGTAAAACAGTATTGGATATTGTTAAAACGTGCCAATATCAAGCATCCCTAATTTTCAGCATAAACAAGCCATGAATTGTTGCTTTGTTTTTTATTTAGTCAAAAGCCTTTTCAAGCATTTTATAGAAGTAGATTCATTTCTTCACTAAAGAAAAAAAAACTGTCCGGTTTTTACACTAGAGTACCCAACATTTTTTCTCACAGCCGCTATAATCTGTAGAAATTTATTTGAAAATTTGCCAAATTCTATATCTTTACCATGAAATCTTTTTCATAATTAAAAAAATTGCCTAAAATCATCATCTATATGTTCACATTAATAAAAATTCAACCATCCCAAAGAAACATATTCAGATTTGAATGACAAAGTACAATTGAAGCAAAAATGCAGCAAATAAAATGTTTCAGTTGTAACGTCCAAAAGGGTCAGTTTTCACCTATATATTGACCAACATCATGACCTTTCATCTACAGCAGCGGTTCCCAAACTTATTTAGCTGCGCACCCCCTTGTATGTCCCGACCATGTCGACGCACCCCCCAGCCCCCACATCAGGGCATGGCTATATATATATATATATATATATATATAATATATATAAAATATATATATATATATATATATATATGTATATATATATATATGTATATATATATATATATATATATATATATATATATATATATATATACATAAAATATATATATATATACATAAAATATATTTTCTTCGGCCCTCCCACAAATGAGTTTCTGGCTACGCTAATGGTGACATATGACAGACTTCTCTGAGCTCCGCAGCCATTACACTTTTCACCTCGCGCACCCCCTAGCGCACATATGTCAGACACAAGGTCCACGGGCCAGATGTGGCCCGCGGAGCATTTTTATGTGGCCCGCGAGATAAATATCAAAAATATATTAAAACTGGCCCGCTGGCCGATTTTACCGCAAAGACTTCAACTCCCATGATGCTTTGCGGCGTCAGCGCGGAGCCGACGCGCCCCCTCCTTTGTGTTTTTTCCAGCGCCTGCTGTCTGTGTCTGCAGCTCCGCTGTCTCTGACAAATTAAACACTCCTCTCACTCAGCGCCGAGTTCACTCAGCTGTTTTCTGACGTTGAAGCCCAGAAACGGAGATTCTAGCCGCTCAGTAATGTGTTCACGACTGAAAGAGAAAGTTTTCCAACTAACGTCCAGACAGAGCTGATATAACTCCAGCGAGCAGCGACACGCTCAAACCAGCATGACTCTGTGGTTGCAGTCGTTGTGTTTCCTCCCCGACATACAACAATGTGGTCAAGCTGCTCAGACATGTTCATCAGCACAAACCTATGTGAGCACCTGTTGTCATCTAATGTTGTCATTATTATGATGAAGATGAACAAAACAACAGGAGTCCCCTCCTCAGCTCAGATCAACCCCATGATGCAGGTATCTGGCTGGAACAGGTGAGCATCACAGTAAACCAGTGGAGCAAACTGAGCTTTAAATATGTTGGTTTTATGCTCTTTTTCTGCTCCAGAACATGAAAGTTAACAGGTGAGATGTTGCATTTTCATTTAAGATAAAATGATATTTTTATTTTGTTGTTGGCCCGTGAGAAAAGATTTAACCTACAGTAAACAGGAAGTGGGAAGGCTGCAGATAGATGAATAGAATAGAAAATCCCTTTATTGTTCCTCAGTGGGGAAAGCTAGACGTCACAGCAGCGATGACACTTATTACAGGAGAAAAAAGGAGAATAAAAATAAGAAAAATGAATAAACAACAAGAAACATAAATCCTGAATAGATTTAAAAAATGCTGAATATACCACAAGTAATGAATACCACTGATGCCTTTTATTTAAAACTGACTTGCTCGAGTGTCATTTGGTTATTCCACATTCAGTGTTAATGCAGAAATACGTTTGTTTCCAAATTAAAAGGTTCAAAATTGCATTTATGTTGATAAAGAAAATGTGCAAATTTGCTGTCACTTTTTCAAAAAATATTAAGTTTGGCCCTCGACTCCTTCCCAAATTTTCATTTCGGCTCCGTGTGAGTTTGAGTTTGACACCCCTGCCCTGGCGGCAGCTCGTGCACCCCCAGGGGTGCGCGCACCACACTTAGGGAATCCCTGATCTACAGCATAAATCCACTTTCTGTTTGGCCTTCTAAATCCAGAAGGTTCTGTTCAACACATGTTGACATTCCATGAAGGCAAAACATTCAAACAAACATTCTCTCCCCGTAGTGTCGGCTTCCCCTTAGAATATTAGTTATGGTTCATGCCTTCTGGTCTTTTGTTTTTTCTTTTAGGTAATTTTCCTTTGTTACAGCCTTTCATTATTTGGTGTGTTTTTTCCCATCAGTGTTTTCTTCCTCCTCCCTGAGTTAGTAATTGTGTTCACCTGGTCCCTCTCCCCACACACCTGCAATTCATCTCCCTCTCATCTTCCCAGTCTATTTAAGCCCTGTCTTGTCACTCTGTGTTTGTTGGTTCATTGTTGTATGTGTCAGCGTTGTTCTGTCTCTCTCGAGTTTCTCCTAGTCCGTGCTCATGAGTGAGCTTCTGTTTTTTTTTTTTTTTTTGAGATTTAGTCTGGTTCTTGTGTTTTTCGACTTTTGACGCATCCTCCTTAAAATAAAGGAATTTATTTTCTTTAACCACTCCTGCCTCGAGTCGTTCTGGGGATTCTGCATCTTGGGTCCAAACCTCCTGCTCTCAATGTGCCAATACTGGTACAAAGCCTTAAAAATACTCACCTTTCTCTTCTGACGTGTCCTCACGTGGAAGTTTCGGATGAAAAACAGTCGCATTTTATTTGTTTTCCGGTGTACTCATTTTCTTGGAGTTGTCATGGATCAGGAGGCAACAAAACGACTGAAAAGTTGCTCTTCACAGTCATTGACATTGAGTTAAAGTTGCTGCTTAGTTTTAAATTTGGTGGCTTCTGCAGCCTAGGTTTTTGTTTTTTTAGGGATGCACGCTATATCAGCATCCAAATTGGTATCGATCAATGTTAGCCATTTTTAACAATGCTATCGGTTCGATAAATGAAACTGGGCCCATATGAAAAAAAATTTATTTTCATCTTGTTGCCGTTTATGTATGTTCCAGGGGGTAGTAATGCGTAATTGTTTAGTCATGTGACTGTGATGGTAATCATCTCAGAAGCTTAAATGTGTGTGTGATGTGTATATAATATATATATGTGTAAAGGGGTGTGTGCAACAATCTGGCGATACAATTATATCTCAATACCAAAGAGAGGACACAATATATTGCAATACTAAAAGTTTTCCATTTTTTAGACAGAATTTAATTTTAAAACTCAGGTCAGATGCTTCTAAAACACATCCAGTGTTGTCATGAGATCTCTTTCTGTCAGAAAGAAGGTGGTAAAAACTGCTGCCACCTAGGAGTCACACTTTGAATTGCACCACACAACAAATTAAGTAAATGTTTTCATGTAAATCCTAAATAAAACAGCTATACACTGCTTTTATTCATAGATTCAATATCTGCAAAATATTGAGATATTTCAGTATATTGTTATTTTTTTTTACATCCTTATTACTTTAATCTAATATCTGTAAATATCGGTTATTGGCTACAATGGCAATTTTGATATTGGATACGACGTTGGCCTACATTTTCACAACATGACATCCCTGGTTTTTGCCCTGCCTCCTTCTGCACCTCTCCTTATATCACACACACACACACACACACACACACACACACACACACACACACACACACACACACACACACACACACACACACACACACACACACACACACACACACACACACATACTTGTATTTATACGTTTGTGTGGACCTCCATTGACTTCCATTCACTTTAGTAATGCCACTATACCTAACCCATAGCTTAACCTTAACCAATGGTGTTGTATTCCTAACCCTAACCTAAACTAACCTAAAACGAAAGTGAATTCACACCATACCTCTAAAACCAAGTTTTAGGGTTCTTAGCATTGTGCGGACCAGCAAAATGTCCCCACAATGTAAAAATGTACACAGTACAGGTTAAAGTTCAAAGTTGTCCACTTAAACCTATAAAGACAAGCACACACACACACACACACACACACACACACACACACACACACACACACACACACACACACACACACACACACGCACGTCTAATTTTAAACATTATCAACTCTTACGTTCATCTTTTTACCACCCAGCATCAATACTACAATAATGATTTTATTATGCCCACCCAACTTTTTTCCAAAACACAATTAAAAATAATGTCTTCTCCTTTTTATTCTCTTCCCAATAGCCCAACCGCGGTCTGAGTCTGATCTGAAGCCAGCGCCCTCTGAGGCGGCAGATGGAGGCGCTGCCAAGGACCAAAATGGCTTTCACCACAGCAGTGCTGGCGCGCCCTCAATGAGTAATGGCAATGGCGTCCACCCTGGCGTCAGCAGCCCAGGGACATGCACCTGCGGCTCCATGAGAACCACAAGCGGGTCGGGCCCCGGAACCAGCATGGCGGCAGCCACGCCAACGACGCAGCAGCCCAGGAGGCAATCGTCCGTGCCTGTGTCGCACAGGGTGCAGAGGAAACTCAGGTCTAGCTTGTCAGTCAACAGTGACAGCAGCAGACAAAGCAAAAGCAGCTACACAGGATCCCAGAAGCCCCCTCTACCAGAGGGTGAGTATTCTACTCACACACTCATTTGCTTAATAACTTCTTTAACTCCTCATTTGTGCATGCTGCAGTCTCTTCATGCTTCTCCTGCATGTCTTCCATAAACACTTTAGCTTTCAGCTAAAAATATACCTGGAAAGAAACTGAAGAATTCTGTATTCAGTGTTGTCCAGTTGTTAAAGCAAACGTAAACATCTAATTTTAGGGTCTACAACAAAATGATTTATAGTTCAGTCAGATGAGAGCAGCATCAAACCAAAGAGGAGTTGTTTTAAATCAAGCCTCCACGCGGTATCGGTAATAAATTCTTCCCTCCTCTCACCTTTTAATGATGACGGAGCATGACCTCTCGTATTTATCACTCCCGTCAAGCAAATGACATCTTATCTCTCTCCTGTGGCTTTTATTTTCCTTAACAATAAGTCAAAGGGGCCGTTGGCCATGCAGGGAAGCCGTCACTTTGTCAGGTGCAAGGCTGAGGTGAATCCGGTAATGAAGGTGGCTGGCCAGTGCTTCTCAATCGGGAAGATAGGTGCGAGCGTCTAACGAGGCCCAAGTGCGCGGGGTGCCTATTATAAGTCACGGGCAACCTTCTCCGGGCCCCTCACGGCCCCTCACACCTTCCCGGGCCCTTTTTGGCTCTCCCTACATCCCGTCAGCAACACCTTGGCCCTCATTAACAGGACCCCATCGCCTCCCTCTTCCCCTCCGTGGTTGTGTGTGTGTGTGTTTACAGATTCTCCATCTTTCCCCGCACAATATCTGAGTTTAGCCTAATTTATTTGTTAATTTTAACTCGTTTATTGTGAAAAAATTAAAATGCATTTAACGCCTTTTTATGAAATTCCTGTGGTCAGGTGGCGGTAGATGTGTGTGTGATGTTACTCGTGTCAACACAGACGGCGCATAAGGCCCTCACACGTCCATAACACTCCTCAGGTAAAGGTGAAATTCGCCCACCAGAGATCCTCTAGGTTTGTCATGTTTCTTAACATCTTAACCGGTGCAGGAAAATCCGGCAGCAGTCGCTCAACAAGTCTCATTATTGCCTTGGTGTTGTTTATCTGAAGGCGCAGGAGCGTTTGGAATCAATATGCTCGTTCTCAGCTATTTATTTCCCACTGGAAAACAGCCAAGCTGTTGTGTTTGAATGTTTACACGGATTAACATAATCTGTTTGTCTGTGAAATTAGCCTCCTAAACAGCCCTCGGAACATGGGATATAAAAGGCGAGAGCTCAGCGGAAGCTCGCTCCTGGGGAATCTTCTGCTTTTTATGTTTGTTTGGCACCCGCTGTTGGCAGCGGAGCCAATGTGAGACGATACCGACGCTTCTGAGGGGTAATTTAGCGTGTTTCTTTTATGCAGCAGGGTGGGCTGTCTCAGCTGTTGCCTGTAGTTTGTGTGTTTGTGTCTTTTGTGTGTAATCAGCTTGGTTTCAAACCCATTCTTTTGCTGTCTCTCTTGCTGATTTTGACGCGAGTTCCTCTCCGCTCGCCCGGCCCCAGTCTTGCATTATAAACGGACTTGCTTTTAAGTTGCATGTGGTGGATCTTCACTATCCATCCCACTTCCTGTGCTCTCTCTCCTCTTGCGTGCTCTCCAGTGGCCACCGAGGCTTTATGTGATCAGTCCAGCTGTTTTAACCCGCTCCTCTCCCTCTTTGTGAATGTTTTGCACAGCTTGCCGCGTCGACGTCCATGCGGCTTGTTTTGTGTCACGCCGCTCCCCCAGCTTTCCTTTTGTTTTCCTTTTGCTTTCCAGATGTCTCGTACAGTTTCCTCAGAGGCTCTGGGTGCTGCTTTTGGCCCCCGCTAACTCTGGGCTTCGTCTCTACTGGCTTACATTAAACAGGAGTGTTGTCAGTCTGTCCATCCTTCGGTTGGTTTCACTCGGCCTCTGTCTGTCTGTCTGTCTGTCTGTCTGTCTGTCTCTCTTTCTGTGTTTTCATGGAGATGTGCCCAGCTCTCTTGTGTACAGTGTACAACCCCTCACACCCTCTCCCTCTTTACCCCCTCTCTTCCCTCTTCTCTGTGCTGGATCCTGTAAAAAACAGACTAATCGCTGGTGTTGAATTATACATCCAAGTGAATCGCTGAGACGGCTGGCCACTTCTTATTGCCTATGTACTGTTTGTATCGTCTTGGCAGTCTGCTGGTGTGGCTATACCCTCTGGGTCCTTCAGAGTTAGTTAGGCTGCACTTTCAGGTTTCACGCTCGTGGTCGTGCCGTGTTTATAACTTGCTGGGTTTTTGAGTACATTTTAAAACGTGGCTTCAGTTTAGTTGCACACCCACTCCAGATGTGTAGGGTACATTCTCATGCATCTTCCGTCACATGGCTGGCCTCGGATAAGGATAATAAGATGCATTCAAACTTCACACACTCTTGCTCTTTTCGTACTTCCTTCGCTATCTTGTTTGTATCAGCCAGTGCTTCTGGTCAGCTCTGCAGCCTCGCACTGCAAAATTAGGGTAAAAAAACCACCCTCCCCTCTACTTTGATTAGTCAAACATGAGCATTCAGCAGACCTCGGCTTGCCTTCTGTCCTCTACACTCTCCACCTTCTTGCTCTCCCTCTAACTCAATCAGTAACAGGCCCCTCTGATAGCTGGAGATGGGCTGATGAAAGTTATGCAAATGCTGCTCCTGTTTGTAATGCTAGTTTTCTGCATCGTGTCTTTTTAACACTCCAAAGCAGCGATGCTGCTCTGTACTCGGATCAAAAAGACGGCTGGAGAGAAAGTGGGACAGGTCCTTGCATTGGAGAATGTTAAGTTCTTATGGAGAAACGTGCATTCATGTTTTCATGTCTTCAATTCTACTTATTAAACATCTAGGAACCGAACCTGCAGTCTGACACCAAATTGCTCTTTTAGGAACAAGTGGAGAAACCGATATTTAATATTAGATTGATATAGTGATGTTCCGAGCCAATCACGTGATAGAATATCAGGCCTGATCATGTGATTTTAAAAGGTTCGGGATCAGGAGAAAAGTATCAGATTTAACCTTTTAAAACAACAAACGTGACATTTTAAATTCATCCTGAGATTTTCTAACGGAATAACAATAGTTTAGTTTTAATTTAATAGGTTCCTCTACATCAATATTATTTGTTTCTTGCACGAAAATACCTTAACATCACACAATTTACAGCAGGCAGGGATTCAGACACCAAGGGGCAGCTGTCAGTAAGCAGGCTAATGCCGGGGACACACCGGCCACCGAAGCGCCGCAAAGCGCCGGGAGGCGAAGCGCTCACGAAATTCGGCTGCTGCTCTCTGCTCCTCAGTTCAGACCAGACGCTTGTTTCTCGTCTCCGGTCGAGGCACGCCTCGTAGTTTTTCTTTTAACCACTTGGTGTCCTCCATTTCCTCTCTGCCTTTTCTCTGCTCTTTTCCTACACCCCCCTCCCCCTTGCTGTTTGTGTGTGTGTGTGTTTGTACGTGTGTGTGTGTGTGAACCTATGGTGTGAACCAGTTGTTAATAGCTGGCCTACGACTTTCTGCCTCTCTGTCCTGTTTGCTCCGATTGAAAGACACCCAAAACCACACCCCCTTCACGTGGCCACACACACACACACACAAGTTCGCTGTGTGGATGTGTGTGTGTGTGTGGTTTTTATGCAGTTTCTGTTTACGAACACATTTGACTATCGCGGAATTGTATTTTGAAATGCTTTATTTTGTTAAATTTACCGGCCTGCCTCTAATGTCTAGTTTTGACTTCCTGCCAGAATTGACGCAGTTCATCCGCGGCTCGCGAAAAAAATAGAGCAGACGCCGAATCGATCGCTGCACGGCGCGGGCTGGAACGGTGCGGGCTGGAACGCCGGCGCGCGGCGCTTCGGCGGCCCATGTGATCTGTAGAATAGGATAACAAGGGCTCCGAATGAAGGCGGTCCCCATTTCGCGGCACTTCGGCGGCCGGTGTGTCCCCGGCCTAACGCAGAGTTAACATGTCTCCTCAGGGGAGCTTCAGCTTGGTGAAATTTTAAACCGGACAGCGAAGGCAGAGCAGTACAGCCACTTGTAATGTGTGCATACTGGGCATTCAACATGGACTCAAAATGACCTCAGAATCTTATCAGGAGCTAATATTTGTGATGGGAACATCCCTAGTTTGACACTGGTCTTTTGGAACTTAATAAATTGGAAAGGAAAGTCTTAGATTTCATGGAAATCCTATGAAGTAGTTTTAAAAATTGGAGAAGTGTGGTGTCCCCCTTCATGAGAACTCCGGCAGCTGTTTATTTTTGGGTCACTTGGAGGCTTTTTACATGTTTTTTGTATATTCTGATAATAAATGATTGCAATAGTCAAGCACTGAAGTAACAATTGCATGCACCAGTTTTACTTCCATCAGCTCAGGTCAGGATAATCCAATTTTAGCAGGTGGAAGAAGGCGGTCCTAGTGTTTTTTTTTTTTTTTTACAATAGCACTGTTGTCCAAGTTAATCCCAATGGTTGGTTTATTTTTTTCAACTTACACTGAAATTAAGATTCACTGATGACATCTCCATTTCAATTATCAAATCAAAAATATTCTTTTGTTTTTGATTGTCACAGCCAAAAACACCTTCCATGTTCTAAAGGCAAAAAAGCCAAACTACAATAACATGAATGACATCAGATTTTCTTCTAAACTTTATATTGGACCAATTTCTGACATTTTCAAACCAACAATCCGTTCTAATGAAACATGCCACTAATTTAGCAGCTTGTTGATGCTTAATGGGCACATTTGTAACTCAAAGGAGAATTCTCAATATCTGATCCAGCAGCAACCTGAAAGCTGGCAGCAGAAGGGTCTGTGAGGAGGTTAAACGTTAATCAGAGGTGTGAGCATTGCCCGCATTAATTCACCTATTTCTCAGGGTGAGACTCTCGGACCTGGATAATCATCTTTGTTTGATCAACCCGTCCGTTTGCATGAAAATGCCACAATTATTTAACCGCCTGTTCATCAAAACTGCAGGAGAGGAATTCTGTTTTTCATATTTTCATATTTTCCTTAAAGCATTCTAGTTTCCTGTTGCATTTCAGCTGCTTGCTTGCATGCACATCTCTTTCACTCACTCTGCATGCTTTCTCATTAATTTGCATGCAATAAAAAATACAGTTTTAAGATTCAAAATGAAATCATTTTAGTCACATTGTTCTCACAATAATCCAATTGGACCCAGACTGCTGCGTTCACTGCATCTTGGCCTGCCTTTTCTGCGAGTTCCTGACGCTGTGCAACATGGTGGTGACCCAGGCCTCGTGCGGCGCGTGCACATCAGAAGCCTGCTGCTGCTGCTGTTGCACCGACGACCTGGGGGACGACTGCAGCAGCCCCTGTGACATGGACTGCGGCATCATGGACGCCTGCTGCGAGTCCTCCGATTGTCTGGAAATCTGCATGGAATGCTGCGGCATCTGCTTTCCCACATAGGGATGGAGCAAAATAGACCTGGAATGGAGGATTTGATTTTTAACTGAAGGAAACTTCTGTTGTTACTTTGAATTCAGCAAGAGGAGGAACACGTGTGTTTGTGTTTGAGTGAAAGTTGAAATGTGAGTTTGCTGTTTGTTGACACTGGGCTTCTCAATCCAAACCAGCTCAGCACGTAATACAAGTGAAGTCTTCCTCTTCCAATTATTTAACCAAGTCCAGGAAAAGAATATTATCACAACTTCTTTTTAAGGGTTTAAGTCAGGATTACTGTTTAGTTTCATCTCATCTTGCCTTTTTGTTTTCACTTTAGTTGACTGATGAACATTCCAAGTATGGTCTGCCGTTGAATGCTCTAAAACTACGGTTGTTAGTGCTGTACAACACTGTAAATTGTTTGTGATGTCTAAAACACCCACAGTTCCATGCCATAACTGAACAGACTTCCACTCACACTTATCTACTGAAGGGTAGCATAAGCTGGTACAATTTAAAATGACATTACCGTACGGCTGAGAATACTGTTTTCTGGAACAAATGGATTTTACTTTACTTTTTTAAGCAAATCTGTTATTACAGAATAAACTTGCACACAATTAGTTGATAAGTTTATAAAAAGAGTCATCTCCGTTTTTAGTAATGGTCCTACTGGAAATGAAGCCAAATTTTCTCACAAAACTGGATGAAATTCTGCAGTAAAACGTAGTGTGTGTATATTGTTTTACATGGATTTTTGTCCTTTTATTGCCACCCATACGTTCTGTCTTCTGGACATGGTACAAGTCTTTTCTGTGATGCTATTTTCAGCTTGTTTTGTGTAATTGTTGGGCTGTTCATCAGGACAGTGATGAGAAATTAAAAACTGGTGACCCTAGTTGGCATTTAAGCAGCTTTTGGGTGTCAACGCTCAGTCACTAACTTATAAAAAGGAAATGTAAAATGGTAAACCAAAGCCTGGAAACAGCTTTTTTTCTGTTTCTTAATTCTGTGCATCTCGAGAAAGCCGTTGGTGAGTCACCAGCCGAGTCATTTTCTTGTCTTGGAGATCCACTTTGATGTTGTTTAAGCGATGATACTTAACGCTGGCCCTCATTAGCACTGCTTACTAAATGGCAGCAGAAAAACTGTCCCTTTCTAAAGCCATCAAAGATGATGTGCTTTTAAGCACAGTTCATCTTCATAGCACAATGTTACAGGGATTGTTGGATAGATCCGTCTTCATGCGATGGTTTGCAGAAAACAAATCTCATTTTAACGTTTATGATTAGCTTAAACCACAAGCTCTACGGGCCTAAGAGTCAAGAAAAAACACAAAATGTGAATAATAGGGGAAACAAGGTAATTTTTTTCTTTTGCTTTATTGTTTTTGTTCAATCATTTCATTCTATGCATAACTGCTTTGTTTAAATGCCTTATTTGATTAGTTTTGCACAATATATAGAGTTTTAAGGAAAATTAAATGAAATGTTAAAAATTTGTTTTGCTGTTCATCCATTTTGTCCACAAAGTGTATTTCCTGCATGTTTTTTAGAAATTATTCGGATTATCCTGCTGGAAGAAACCATCTTCTGTTAATTCAAATTATTACATTTAGTTTATTAATTGCAGTTTGACAAATATAAGTTTCTGCTTTAAGTAATTTTAAATATTTAGGCCTTTTTCCCATTATTTCAGGATCACAATAAAAAAATAACATTGTACTCAGAACAAATTATTAAAATAACTTCAGTTTAGGCCTCAGAAGGTAGCGCACAAGTTTTTAGAAGGTATGTATCCTGTTGCATAGTTCACCCTAGTCTCTACAGGTCAACACATCATTCTTCATTTGACTTGGTGAAGATATAAAAGATGGGCGTCAGTGATGAAAAACATCAGACTCAAAGGTAGTGAAGCCATTCAAATCATTACACGTGCACTGCCATGCTTCACAGTAAGAGGGAGGTTATTTACACAGTGTGCAATTCTGTTCATAACTTTTAAGGACAGGATTTCTGGGTACACCCAAGGTGTTGAGGATCAGGTCTCTGCTTTTTGCATATGATGTGTTCCTGTTGGCATCATCAGACCATAATCTCCAGTTTTCATTGGAGTGGTTTAGGAATGTCATGGTAACCGGTGTAGTGGTAAACCCCTGTATAAATGTTGACAATAATAATAACCATCTTGTTAAAAAAAAAATATATATATATATATAAAATCTGTTGATTACCATGACTGCGGTGTAGGCACAGTGATGTTTATCAGCCATGGTCTCATCTGCTGAAGTTGCCGCACATGCACATTTTGTAGTTTACAACCAAACCTTTCTTGAAGCTGAAGCTGAAATAATGGCTGAAGGAGGAGACGGCAGCGCTCGGGACATCCATCAGCCCTCAAAGAAGACAAAGTCAGAGAGGGAGAAAAGGGAATACAGCAAAACCAAAATATCACTGCACCCACAACCTGATGATATATAACAGTAACAAGTTTTAATGAAAAGCACACATTAAAAATTCAATGTGCATTAAGTGCCAACCACAGCCTTAGGTCATGTGTTTAAAATGCCCAGTCCATACTTGTAAGAGCACCATGTGAGCACCTGTGTGCGTACCACATGCACTTGTGTAAGGTTTCTCTATAGGAGTGTCTAATGGTGAGTGTGAGGGTTCACAGACCTGCCCCCAAGGACGTGCGGAAGCTGGAGGTGTTCCAACCCTCGGAGATCTAGAGGTTTCCCTTGGGAATGGAGAGCTGGTCGCCAGTGTAATAGATTGACTCGCCAGTGTAATAGATTGACTCTCACTGCATTATTATTAATTTAACAAAGATTACTGCCTGATGACATTTTCCCAAATCTCAATGGAAGGACACAAACCGAGGACAATATTTTCCTGATATAGAGGGTTTATTCAGTTGTCTGAAAATATAACACATTTCTGGTGCTATAATTAGTTCATGTAATACCCTGAAAACAACCAACAACACATACCGTAGTTATGAAATAATAAGTGGAAGTGGGAGATTTTTATTTTGCCCCTCTGAAGGAAACAATTTGGGCTCCCCTGATCCAAAAGTGGGGCTGGGTAGAGTGGCCAACAACTGTACTCAAGTAAGAGCAGCACTACTTCAACACCTTTTACTCAAGTAAAAGTAGCTGTCCAAGAAATTACTCAAGGGTAAAAAAAAGTATTTGATTAGAAGGCTACTTTACTACTGAGTATAATCTGATCTCAAATTTTAAAAATGATGACATCAAACAGACAAAAAATAGTTATGGGCAAATTATTGTATTTTAAAGACCAATGGGGGAAAATGTAAACAAACAACATAATTACAAAATAACAAATTTTATGCAAAATTTAAAGTAACAGGACAATAATTTCTTGATATAGAGGGATTTAGTTGTCTGAAAAAGTAGCACTTTAAAAAGAAAATACCGCGATAACACCGAAAACCGTGATAATTTTGGCCACAATAACCACAAGGTTAAATTTTCATGCTCTAGAGACAACAGCCCTGCCCTAGAGTGGTTCACAGCTCAGTGTGAAGCAGCTTGAATGCCTTCTCCAGGTCAGTGATGAGGTACTGCCCCAAGTGGAGGAGTTTAACGTCCGGAACACACCAGTTGTGAAGCGGAACGCTCACGAATTTCGAGCACTGCCCGTTGCTCCTCTGTTCACATCAGGCGAGAATTTCCGATGAGCGCTTCTGCTCACGCATACTGTTTTCCAACCCCCCCCCCCCCCCCACCACCACCACCACCATGCTCTTGCTGTGTGTGTAACCAGTTTGCCCTGCTTATTATCAGAAACTGCCCTGATCCTGCTGCTGTTTTGTAGACCAGTTCCGTTCTAAATGGGTAAGTAAGGAGTGTTTGTGGTAGTGTACAATACAATTGTATTGTTACCTTTGAATTAAACATATTTGTTTGTATTCACATTTATTAAATCCATCTTTTGCTGTAAAAACTGCATTTAAAATTATGGAAACGCCATGTTTCTGCAGGAGTGTGAGTGTTTGTCTCTTTATTCATTTTTATCTCTAGTCTGTTAACTGTTTACACAGAAATGATCACATTTGTAAATCGCAGTGTTTTATTTAGAAATTTTTCTTTATTATGGTAAATTTACCAGCCTGCCTCTTCTGTTTTGGTTTGACTTCCTGCCAGAATTGACGTGGCTCACTCACGGCTCGCAAAAAATTAGAACTCACGCCGAAACAATTGCTGCACAGCACGAGCCTTCATGGCGCTTCGCAGCTGATGTCACCGAGAGCGTAGGTTAATAAGGGCGTTGATTAGAAGCGCTCGTCGTTCCACTGCTTCACGGTGCACCGCCACGCTTCCACGTCTGGTGTGTTCCAGATGTAAGTATCTTGGGGTCTTGTTCATGAGTGAGGGAAAGATGGAGTGGGAGATCGATAGGTGAATTGATGTTGCGTCTGCAGTGATGAGACTGTTGTACCAGTCTGTTGTGAAGTGAAAGCTGAGCTGACAGGTGATGGTCTCGATTTACCATTTGATCTACTTTCTTACCCTTACCTATGGTCACAAGCTTTGGTGAGTGACCAAAAGACTGAGATCACGGATTCAAGTGGCCAAAATGAGTTTCCTCCACAGGGTGTCTGGGCTCTTTCATAGAGATAGTGTTAGAAGTGTTGCCATCTGGTATGGGGTTGGAGAAGATCCACTGCTCCTCCACATTGAGAGGAACCAGTTGAGGTGGCTCGGGCATCTGATTAGGATGCTGTTAGGGATTTTATCAATATGTTTATCAATAACCCGTTCCCTGTAGTTGAAGAGAAAAGTAAGTAAAGTAAAAGTTTATTTATATAGCGCCTTTCACAGATATAAATCACAAAGCGCTGTACAACATGATGAAGATCAGGGCAAATACCTCTAACCAATAAAAACATCATAAAAACAATAGCAGTGATAAAATAGAAAATAAAATCATGAGTATAAACAAAGTGAAGGTGTGAACCCGAACAAAGCCATCTTTTTGAAACATTTAGGGAGGGAACACCTGGATGAAAAGGTGAGTTTTCAGATGATTTTTAAAGACCTCTACAGTGTTAGAAAGATGGAGATTTGAAGGTAGACTGTTCCAAAGTCTGGGTGCAATAGTCTGAAAGGCCCTGTCCCCTTTGGTTTTCAGTCTGGTTCGAGGAACAGCCAGGAGGTTTTCAGATGTGGATCTAAGGTTCTGAGAGGTGGTGTGTGGGGATAAAAGCTCAGATAGGTAGCTTGGAGCCTGGTTGTTAAGAGCTCTATAGGTCAGGACTAAAACTTTAAACTGTATTCTATATTCTACCGGGAGCCAGTGGAGGGACTGTAAAACTGGAGTGATGTGAGCTCGTCTGCTGGATTTGGTTAGGAGTCTGGCTGCTGCATTTTGAATGGCTTGAAGGCGTGAGAGGGAGGTTTTGCTGAGACCAGTAAAAAGAGCGTTACAGTAGTCTAAGCGTGATGACACAAAGGCATGGATTACTTTTTCCAGATCTGCAGTAGAAACCAGTTTACGGACTTTTGAAAAAGGAGACAATGAGACAAGTCAACCAGTTATAATTGTGGCATATGCACGAGGCAAAATGCCCCGAACATCTGGTCACAGGCTTTATTTAAACAGAAAGAAGAATGGGAGTGAGGTCATTGTGTGAGAGAGATAGTCAGTGTGTGTATAAGTGAGACAAGAATGTGTGTGTGTGTGTGTGTGTGTGTGTGTGTGTGTGTGTGTGTGTGTGGGAAGAACAGTGTGTAGGTGTGTCTGAGTGAGAGAATGCTTCAGGACATTTGTTAACAGAATTAAAGCGATAAAATATAAAATTTCTATAACAGATGGTTTTCTGGGCATGTCCATCTGGGAGGTGACCTAATGGAAGACCCAGGACAAGCTGGAGGGACTATGTTTCTCAGCTGGCCAGGGAACGCCTTGGGATTCCCGTGGAGGAGCTGACCCATGTGGCTGAGGATAGGGAAGTGTGGGCCTCTCTGCTTAGGCTGCTGCCCCACAACATGTCCTCGGATAAGCAGAGAAAAATAGAAGGATTTTATTGGCACCAAACATGTTACTTTACAATCTTTTTCAGAGCTGGGTCTTCAAGAGTTTCTTGAAAATCGACATGGACGCCCCTGTTCTGGTAGTGCTTGGTAGGTCATTCCACATCTGTGTCCCGTGGGTGTAGGCACTGCTAACCGACGATCCTTCGATGACCGGAGCGGCTGGGCCGTGACGTAAACCTTTTCAAGAGGATTCAGTTAGATGGGAGCCTTACCATCCAGGACTTTGTATGCTAGTGCTAGCGATTTTAGTTTGATGTGTGCAGCTAATGGTAGCCAATAGAGCTCAGTGAACCGAGGGGTGACGTACTCCTTTTGGCTGAAGACCAGACGTGAAGCTGCATGTTGGACCTTTTGAAGAAGTCTCAGTACAGGCTGGAAGAGCAGTTAGAAGGGCATTGCAGTAGTTGAGGCGGGAGATGACAGTAGGTTGCACCAGG